AAGCGAAATTTGACGCATTATCCCAGGTAGAGGAAAATAATATATTTGTGCCTATTTTGCCCTGAGAGCTTGAAGTAAATTTACGGAGAGAAACATTATACGCGAAGATAAATTTTCCCCGACACATACCGATCTCCTGATCTCTTCAGGCTAAAACAATGACAGAAAAAGCCTCCCTTTTCAACAAATTAAATTGTCTTGAAAATATTGTTACGGTATACTTTTTTGTTTTAGGACGTTCTTCTAAAGGAAATATCCCGACAGAAAATGGCATTGCTGTCGTTTGGGTGTTGAAAGGGTAATGCCAAACGGTGTCGAAGATATGCAAAATGTTGAATTTGTGCGTGGGTTTAGAATTACTGTACTGTGAAGTACTGTAGAAGTACTGTACTGTGAAGAGTCAAAGATTTTTTTTTATTTTCACGCTTCTTGTTGAAATATTCACGTATGGCGATTACACAATACGGTGTTTTCATGCGATGCTTCGCGAAGTACAGTGATTTATTATGCGTAAGACCTTGAATGAATTTACAATACCTTTATTTGTATTCTTTATTACTTTGGTTGCGTTTTTAGTAGAATTGCTATTAATCCTCACAAATGTTAAGAAGTTGTGAATTTATAAAATACAGTACATTAAAATCCTGATGTGGTTCATTTACTTGATAATGAAATCACGTCAGGACAATATTTTTCGTGAAATCTTGGCATCTTGTCCAGTGGATGTACAATATCTTGGCAATTATTTCCTGAGGGAATTTTTCAATTAAACGAAATCAGGCGTTTTCAATTGAGTCAGAGATTTCTTTTTTTTTTTTAATCCCGCAGGAGTTTTTTTTCAATGAGCTTATAATTTAAAGCCTTTTCAGCAAGGCTGACAGGACTGCGAGAAATAGCATTGTTGACGCGTATTTCTTTTTAACGAATTAATCGTCGAAAATGCGTCGCGGGTGTCGACGACTCATTCCCCCTTGTCCTTTGAGCTTATTACCCTTAATTAGATGGGATTTCGTTGTCGGAATGAGCTTAATTCTCCGGGGCGGTCTCCTTGCTCTTCCCCGCAAGAAAACATGTTGCAAGCATCCACTCGTCAAATGCGTGCGAACGACGGCGGCGGTCTCTTTTTCCCCGCTGGAGATTTCTCGAGACGAATTCAAATTTTCCATGTCAAGCACGCGCTAATGCACCTTTTCCCTTCACACGAGCGGCAATTAACACGCCACTCTCGGTTTAATGAACCCGCGGAAAAAGGGACCCCGGCGGGGATTTTTTCAGTTTCCTTCCGAGAAAAATTTTCAGCCGGGGTAATTTCCGCCAGACCGCAGCCTAGGAATGAATTGTCGCTCCTCTTCAAAATCTGCAATTTTCTATCAATTAGGCTCTGAAGGAAAGACGAGTTCCCAGCCTGAGGACACTCGGGCGTAATTAAGGTCGGTGCAGAATTTTCATTAGCGGAGGACTTTGAAAAATGGCGGTTTTCGGAAAAGCGCGTGGAGCTTGGCAATGAAGAAAACAAAACCCGAAAAATAAAATTATCTTCCGATACGCTCACTCTTATATGGGCAGGAAGGAAAAAAAAAACGGAGAAAACCCCCGTGAAGGGTGAAAAAGGTTTTTTCATGCTTTCCAATTAATCATGACGTTCTTTGAAGAAAAAAAATCAATGAATGTAAAATTCAGTGTCCTGAATTTGAAACCCATGTTTTCGGTTAGGATGAAGTTGAGAAAAAATATGAGCATGCTGTCAGAACGTCTCCTCAACGTGGGCTGAAAACTCGCCTCGCCCATTTTTCTTTCACGTGAACGTATTTCCTGGGCTTCATGTGGTGATTCAAAAGCCCATCCTTCTACACGGATGAAAAACGTGAACTCGATTCAAAAGAGAATATTGAATATTTTTCTGCAAATATCGGAGATACGATCATTCGAATTACAGGTGGACACTCTTTACAACGAAACTCAACGAATTGGCTGCAAGGTTCATCCGTCACTTGAATACATGCAATTTTCCACGTTTTCAGTTTTAAGACGCATACAATTGTTTCATTAATTTTTCGGAAAATGTTTCCTGCCTGATATCGTTGATAAATTCCTAATTATTTTGGTCGACCTTTTATATACTATACCCAAGAGAAGCAAACTGATGGACATGTGAGCGGCAGTGTGTGTGTGGGTGAATTCTACAGTGGTATGTGCTAATTATAGCCTGTCGGGATCGATTTCCTTTGCAATCCAGCATTATGAAAAAGCCCAGGATTTTCTCATGAGACTTGACAGTTTTTCAAATTTTAATTTTCATGCTTCACGAAAATCTTTTCTCGAACACAGCAGACTATTTTCTGAAACTGGGTCCGTCTGTATGCGATGGATTATTTTAGAGATTCTGGGACTAAATTTATTCGCAGACTCTTGATACATTTTAGTTTTCCATATGTCATTCCTTTTTTTTTAGTAAATTACGAAAAAGAGCTTGCCTCTGTATTAAGAATACAGTGCCACGTCGGACTCTTTCAGGGGCTTTATTTGCTTATTTAAATTTTGGGAAAATAATAAGTATTCATTTATTATTCTTGATTATTCAGCCTCCTTTAGCAAATACAAATTGGGCAGCTTGTCTGATTTAATATCGTGTTTTTGTTTCCATGTGAAGATTTCGATAATTTATGTAATTATTATTATGAATCTAAGCTTTAATTTGACCAATTGTTGTAAAAAGATTGTAAGACTACGTTGATCTACTTTCCGCTGTAAGATATTAAATCCTTGGGAACTTTGATGAAAGATCAGTTCCTATTTGCTGAGTCTTCATCATAAGATAGCGCATATCTTGAACTTTATCGAATCGGTAAATGTCAGTCTATTTGAATTGATAATGAAGCGGATTCAGTGTTTCAGCGGGTACTTGAAAAATGAAAGGAACCCTTTGAAAGAGCAAAATAGGTTACCGTGCATCGGTTGTTGCGTTCAATCCACCTTCACCAGTGTGTTGCACAGCGGCGAAAATATTTTTGGAAGAATAATTTTCATGATAATGCCAAGAATGTTTTTCGAGTGCTGCGTCAAGATTCCAACCATATCAGCCATTGCCTGAATGACGGCGTTGTGCAGCCGAGGCTGACGACTTCATGGGTGCCTGTATATATATTCGTGCAGCACCTGCAGGAAACTTTTTTTTTCTCGTGTTTGCCAGAGCAAGCGGTCCGTTTCACGTCGGCTGTTGGAAGCAATTCATTATGCATTTGTTCTTCGGCCAACGTTTGCTCTGAAACGGTTTCCTTGTTCCGCTAACCTACCATTATACGACCAACTTATAATTATTCAGAAGAAACGAAGGAAAAATAAACTCATTTCTTTGCTTTCCGTCTTTCGATTGTCGAAGAGAAATTTATGTTTCAGCGATTTATTAATTTTTTTCCCGGGAGAAAGAACGTTTTTGTTTTTGGCGATTTAGTTTCAATGTGTGGGTGGCTTGAATCGGAGTTTCGCCCGCGCGCCGAATTTTGAAGCGGATCGTTTTCGGAAGCTAGAAATTTTCTTTTAATTGATTACAAAGTAATAATTTTTCAGAAGAAACAAAGTCATTTATATCGCTTTCCGTCCTGTGATCGTCGGAGAGAAATTTATGTTTCGGCTATTTTTTCTTCTGGAGAAAGAACGTTGTTGTTCGGCAACTGCGTTTCAGTGCATGGGCGGTTTGAATCAATTTCACCTGCGCCGAATTCCAAAGAAAGTATTTTTCGAAAGGGAGAATCTTAGAAGAATGACTCAAGTAATAATTATTCAGAAAAAAAGGCTTGACAAAAATTCATTCTGCTTATCTGTTGTGGTGGTTGTCGAAGAGGGATTAATGCTTCTTTATACTTCAAAAAAAGAAAGAATGGGGTTGTTCTGCAGCCACGTTTTAGTACAAGGGTGGCTTTTGAAAGTAGAGTAAGTACTGTAATTTTAATTTTAATCGCTTTTCTGTAAACCTCTAAAAGAAATCAGGTTACAGTAAAAGTTATAGTTTCCAATGAAAGTCATCCTGCTGAGGACTTGAGAAGGTTTCAGTTCATTGATGGTTGAATCAAATGTGAATTTCGCTCAATTATGTTTTAATTCTGGATTATTTTAATGATGCACTTCAGCACGTGATCAAAAAAAAGACTCAAGAGTTGAAATTCTGCTGAAGACTAAGAATTGTATGTGAAGTCTCTAAAAAAAACTAGCAGGAATTTTATCCTTGAGATTCCGCCATTAAAAAAGGCGTACTTTTTTGCCAGCGTTTTTTCCGATGGAAAATTCGGATTGCCTATGCATTCCATTGCGTTGATTTTTCTTTTAAAATTCTGATTAATTTAAGCAGGCAGTTCAGCATGTTACCAAAAAGAAAAATAGAGTTGAAAATCTGCTGAAGACTCGGGGCATTTCACGCGAAGTCTGCAGAAGAACTCGCATGAATTTTCGAGATTCCGCCATTAAAAAAGACGTAATTTAATTTTCGTCTGCGACTTTATTTTCCGATGGCAAATTCGGATTTTTGTGCATTTCATTGCCCTGATATTTTCCGAAAAATTCTGGATAATTCAATTGAGCAAATCAGATGTGACCAAAAAAGGAAGAAATGACCAAAAAATTGAAATTCTGCTGAAGACTCTTCTCATGAGCATCTTATATAAAGCTCGTGAAAAAGAACTCGAAATCCAGAAACCACCAATAAAAAGAAAAACACGTCATATCTGTTTTTTTTTTTGGGCTGCGATTTTATTTTTTCCATGAAAAATTCGGATTTCCTGTGAATTTCATTTGCTCTGACTTTTTTTTAAATTCTGGATAAATGATCTTGCATTTCAGCATGCGACCAAAGAAAAAGAAATGACCAAGAAAGAGTTGAAATTCTGCTGAAAACTGTTGAGCATTTTATGCTGTCTATAAAAAAGAACTCGAGATCTAGAATCCACCATTTAAGAAAAAACGTCATTTTATTTTATTTTTTTTTCGTATGCGATTTTCTTTTTCCGATGGCAAAATCCGGATTGCCCGTGCATTTCCCCGAGATTGCCGTTGTAAGCTTTTCGCGCCTCATGACGGGGTTCGACTGGAAAGCCCCTGGGTGCCCGCAATTTCCCTCGGGAATCTTCGGAAACGCCTGGGCTCTGGGTAATTTCCAGTTCGGTTCCCCATCGATCATCGGGCTTATTTGCTTTCTTCTTTCGTGCTCCTGCATATATGATTTGTGTAGTAGCCACACATACGAAACAAACCCGGCAGCAGAACAGCAGCAGCATGCAGCAGCAAACAAGTGAATCCCTGCGCAAGGGAAAGTCCGTTCGTTGCGCAAGGCGGTCAAGAAAGAAATCGAACAATTGCCCTAAGCGCAGTGACAGTTGCTCTAGTTCTCGCGTCACTGCTTCCGATTGCCTCTCAACCGCATCCTTCGGCTTTCTGCGCAAAAAAATAGGACAAAAATAAAGAAGAGTGAGGTAAAAAATAGTCGAGACAATCGTTCTTACAATAAAGAAAAAAAAAACTAGGAAAATAAATAAAAGACAGGGGATGGAAAAGGTTGAAGTACACGGCTGATTTCTTCCTCCGTTCGGGTCGACTTTTCGAGGGCACCCGACGATGGTGGTGGTCCATGGCATGTCGAATCGCGTGTAACGGTGGCCATGAATTTGGCTTTCGGCTTTCGAATCGTGATGGAAAACCGCGAAAAGCATCCTTGATTAACTTATCTCTTTCGGAATTAACTCCGTCTTTTATCGCGGCATTTGCATTATAAACGCTTCATGCCAAAAAAAAAAAAAAAAAAAGGCGGCATTAAGTGCCCTGCCATCTAACTGAATCACGCTTGCTGGCGAACGTAAGAGAACAGAAAGGTCGAACTAACTTCCTTCTTCGAAATTTAAATAAATAAATATATTTTTTTACTGAAAATACAAAAAGATAATGCTTTGTAACTTTGTGATGCAGGAGACTTGTCAAAGGATTACATTTTGGATATCTTGGTATTATCGTTGAAGAGCTGAAGAACTTGATTTCGTTTTATATCAAGACACATAAATGTCTTGATAAATTTTCTTAGCCTTTATTTCTACTTAAATCGGGCTAGTTGACGTTTTTGAGGTTACTTAAGGCTGGGTTAGATGAGATTATTTCAGGCCACGTTACTTCAAAATATCTTCAAGTTATTTCAGATCAGATTATTTTGAGTTGGTTTTGGTTAGTTCAGACTTCAGAGCAGGTTGAATTCAATGTTGTCAGGTTATCTTCATTTCATTTAGGTTTTGATAGGTTATACAGTATTCCTTTTGGTAATTTGGATATATATTTTCTCAAGTTATATTAGGTCAGATCAGCCCAGGGTATGTTTAGATAGGTTCCTTCATGATAATTTATTTCGTGTTAGGTTATGTTAGGTCATGTGAGTTCATGTTTTTTTCGTTCAGATCAAGACACTTCGATTGGGGGGGGGGGGGGGGTTAAATACAATTCAGTTTAATTAGTTCACGCTATGTAGGCTGTTTAAATTTGGGTTGCTAAAGGTTAGGCAATTTTGGTCTTGGAGAATTTACCTGATACTTGCTGGACATTTCAGAGAGCTTTAACATGTCGACTTCGTTTTAACCAAATGCATCGCATGCCTGTTTTTTTGTTTGTTTTTCGGTTGTCGTTTGTTTTAAATTGCATTCTTCATTGTAAGACATGTGATGAACTCGAGATGCTTCGCGTGTTCGACGTATATAGACGGAAGCTGAAAACCCGTCAAGATCGAGTTCAAGTACCGTCGAAAGTACGGACTTCGGGGTTGCCTGAGGGATCGAGGAATGCGCTTAATTACTGAGACGAGACGAAATTAATGCCGACACCGCAGGTGGGATATCGCGCACAACACGAGCCGGGCTAAGAATATTGAAAACGCGCTGACCCGGATTCCGGGTGGTTCTCCGCGTGTAAATTATTTCATTTTTTTTGTTTCTTCCCCTTCAAAAAATAATAAAATATCTGCCGTGCTGTGAACCCTGGCTTTGGATGCTGCTGCTTCTTTATTTCTTTTCATTTTTTATTTATTTTAATGCTTGTTTGGCGGGTGATAACCCCGGGGGCAATGCGGGATCTTTTCTTGCCTCATCACCGGGCTAGTTGTGGAAGGCGGCGGGGAAGTGATCTTAACCCAATTTCCTGACCATGTAGGGAGCCGCACAATGGAGGTAATTTTTGGTGTATCACCGCATTTGGCGTTTGTGTTGGGCACCGCTTTGGGTCTTGTTATTCTTTCCTTCCAAGTTTTTAATCCGTCCATCTTTACTTCGAGGGGAGGTTTAATTTACGACGCAGTTTGATACCGTTTCGTTCGAGGCTTGTTAATGGGTTACCAGAGATGCGGGGAATAAATCCGTGGGAGTTGTTCTTTTCCTGGCATGCGTTCGGAGATAATCTGAAATTGCATTTCCAGTTCGCTTCTGGTGATCTTTATTTGGATCTGATTTTATGAATTGAGGTGAACTTTTTTTTTGTTGCGAAAATGATTGTGCAAAATCAGAAAGACTTTTAAATTTGGTGATGTCTTTTACATTCGACGCTGTCACTTATTTGAGCGTCTTGAACTTTTTCCGTTGAAAAGCGATAGATTTATGCGAAAATTCAAAAACATTCACGGAAAAGGGAGTCTGGATGTTCATGACTGACATATACAGTAATTTGTTCCCTTTACGAAAAATGTGATGCAACAGAAAAATAAGCCGAAAATCTTGCAATAAGTGGTATGGTATCATGAATGAAGCAGAAATATTGAATCACCAAGGCCGAAAATTGAAAATTGATACTTTGAAACTTATAAATCTTCCTTCAAATATTTTTTCGTGTAATCCTTCCAGAATGGCTAAAACATAGCCCCGATAATGAGTCAATAAATGTTGATCATATATAAGTTATCAACAGAATCTTCTGATTCCGATTAAAATGAAAAAAGTTCGCTAAAATCAATTTTAGGGTAATAAAGACACGTCTTTTAGTCCTTTTTTCGATGTTTCGTGTTGTTCGAGAATTATATTTTTTTTATCATCCCCGAACTGTCGTAAATATGGTGCTGAGGAAGAAAAGCATGACCTCTCAAAGGTCAGATCAGTCTTTTGAAGAGCAAAAAAACACCGGAACTTGAAAAAAATATCGGGCGTGTGTTGTGAATAGAATCGGACGTTACGCGTATAGAGGAAGATAAATTACCAGCATTTTCCGCTTCACGATGCAAATTTCTCTACCTCGGAGGAATAACGCCGAAACGAATGAAAATAATTTTCTGAACTGAAGGAAACATGAATGATGTCATTTATTTTTGCCGTGTCTGGAAAGTACTGTACTCCCCTAATGAGACGTTGAAATGGCGGCGTATTGTTCGAGATATGAATGCCTTTCAGCTCTATTCAACCCATTGAAGTTTCCTAATCGGTGTCATTCTATAATCCAGCATCAGATGATGAATCGAGCAATTGTCCGAAATGAAGCCGTTTTGTCTGGAGGGAATTTTATCGCTTGATGATCTAAATGGAAAGGCTTGGTATTGACGCAGCATTTATTTTTCAATTGAAACCACTTTGATTTTTCAAACTTATTTCGGTGGATCTTCGCTCAATTCGACACAGCGATACTGTGACTTTATTTGGCTTAAAAAGTCAGTCACGCAAAATTATTTTTGTGACCTTTCTATGTGCAGTATTCCTCTAAATTTTATCATGGCGCCTTTTTTCCGTGGCTGCGAAACGCTTCTATTCGCAAGGATGTGTGGAATTTCGAACTTACCACTTCGAAAAACGTTTCCTCGAGTTTCGTGGGGGGTTTTGTTTTTGCGTAAGGCTTGAAAGTTTCTGTTTATATGCCCCTTTTTGTTGAATATTTTGAATTTTCTAGGCGGTTTCCGGGCCCAGTATTTTTTGTATGGGAATGAAACGTGAGGAAAGAGGGAAAAAGCTGGGTTCGATGAATGGAGCCCAACCCGTGATCGAGTGCGTCGCGAGGTGTGTAATCATTGTACCCTTGAGGCAAGAAGCCGGCGGGAATACTCAAGGAAAACCTCAAGCCCGGAAAGAAAAAAAAAGAACTAAACTAAATAAATAAAGCATGCTCATTCGAGTAAGTGACGCAACGCCAATTAAGCATTATTAGCACAACGGTAGTCGGTTGTTTTTCCCCCCATTGAGACGTGCTTCTGCCTAAAGTGGCGATGAAGCATGGATGTGCGAGCTTTTGTATACAATACTTTTATTGCACTATTTTTTTTAAAGCGCTCTCCACTTCGGTTTCCAAGAACAGACGCTTTTCGCTTCATATTTCCTTTCACAGCATTCTTCCTTTTCCTTTTCAGTGACCCATTTTCGGTTTTAAAATATTTGATTAGTCGGAACTTGAAAAAAAGGTAATGTGCAAATACTGATGGAGATACAGTATTTCCTAATTAACCATGAAGGTAATGTGCAAATATTGATGGAGATACAGTATTTCCTAAGTAACCATGAACCCTGTGAAATATCGGTTATTTCAACGCTCTTATTTACACAACAAATGATATTTGGAGAACTGTGAGTGATTCATTTTGATCATTGGATCAATCGAAATGCGCATTCTTTCTATTATTTCCAAGATGCAAAGCCACCTTTCATTGTCTGAAAATAACATTTGGTTTATTAAATTTATTGACAATTTTTGGGTATTTTTTTGTCTGTGTATTCATTTGGGCATGATCTTCACAACATCTTCTGCGTAACAAAGCTATTAAATGAAATGTCCAATTAATACCTGTCATTAAATACATCTGTGACAGAGTAATTTGGTACCTTAATGTACTGCTGTGCCTGCACACTGACTGCTGTTAGATGGCAGCCATATTAATTGAATACTAGAGATTTTAATCTGTACCCTTCAAGGGTTTTAACAAATCAGGTGTGCAGAAGAACAGACTAAAAAAGATTTGTCTTGCAATGCAAGTGTGTGATTGTGAAGGTTCATAATCTTTTTATCCATTGTGATGTGTGTGTTCTTGTGTGAATCACATCTTGGGCTTAAACAAACTCAAAATACAATTTTATCTTTTTCTTTTGGGATTTCATAAAAAAAATCCCCAGCTGAACCCCACAGCTGATTTTGTGTTTTATTTTCGAATTTCTGCCTATTTTTGTGTGATTTAACCCCCAACATCAATATCCTTGATTCTGGATGAAAGTGATATTCCAGCATATTTTTTGGGTTGTTCAAAAATTATGACTTCTCAAGTCAGGGCTCTGAGCTGTCCAATTAAAAAATGAATATTACTTTTTGGGTTACGGCTGCAATTTACAAAGACTTTTTGTGTCCTTGATGTTCACACAGTTCTACATAAGTCTAGGGAAACAAACACTTGTAGGGAATCTTTTTAGGGATTATTTGTCCGGCTATTTTGGAGAAAATTACTGTGGGACCTCAACATACGGATGATTCGAATGATGAGCAACTCTTAAAACTTGAAAAATTTGCTCCGAGATCCGGAAAATGCCTAGAGATGCGGAAACACTTTTAACATTTTTAGAAAAACTGAAAAAAATCTGAATTTGTGTATCTCTTGAACTAATCGAGCTATTCATATTCAGAAAAAAAATTATTATAGAATCACTCTAGAGTCTAGATCATAATTAAAAAGATCAATTTTTTGCTTCTTCATTCAGAATTTTTTCATAATCTTCGCATAGCTAGACTTCTTCTTGTACTTTGATTCTTAAATAGCTCCTTCTGATGCCAAAAAATAAGATTCCGTGTGGTTTTCCTCTGCCCAGTTATTTTTATATCTTTAATTTGCCAAGAGACATTTTATTTAATTTTTTGTGAATCCATTCAATATGCTTCCATTGAAGTCTATGGGAAAACTTGATTTAAAATACAAACGCTCCACCGTACAGACGAGGTTCAAGCATCAATTATGTCCGCATCTCGGGGCCCCCTCTGCATTCCAGTGAATTGGGATTTTTTACACGAAACCAAGATGTTAGCCAGATTTGTCAATGGGCTTTCCGAGCATTGCGTGTTGCAGTTCGTGACAATAGGCGGTCAGACGGAAGTCCGTTCATTGTCCGCCTTATTCTTGCTGCAGGTCTGAACTGCGTGTCGTAATTTTTGATATGGCTTCCTCATCCCACCTGTTTTGTTGCATGCCATTTTTCCCCCAACACGTGGCTCCCACATCTTTCTCGTATGAAGATGAGATTTCATTTTTTGAACCGTATTTTTGTTTTCACTCAATTCGAGAATAGCTAGAGGAACGAGCTACAGTATTTAAAAGCTGTCGCATTCGCAGATATTTAATGAACGGTTCCTCGGAGTAATTAGCGCCTGATGCTTCCGAGGCCCTGGGAGATGAATCAGCAAGAAATGCGTTCCGGTCGTTATTGTTGGGTTTACTTAGCAAGTAAAGATGAAACTTTGTTTATACTGACTTTTTCTTCTGGCGATCCCTTTGACATTCTCGGTGCATGCCGATACTGTCAATAAATCGTGACCCATCGCGAACCGGTCCATGTTCTGCCTGCAGGGAAATATTATCCTATGAAATATTGGCTTTGCAAATTTTCAAAAGCAAGAAAATAATGAGCGTAGTCACTCACGTAAAGAAACCCCATCTGCGTTTTCATTGCTCCAAAATATAAATGAACACCAGCATTTTAACGCCCGAGAAAATCCAGAAACACGAAGACCTCTGTTTAAAATTCTTCGATATTTAAGTATTTTTAACGGGAAATTCCAGCTTTTGTCGTGTGAATAGGAAAACGTTACTCATATTTCATAAATATACCAACCAAATATATTCTGACGCATCGCAAAACGGTCAATGTTCTTCCTGTAGGGAAATAATCTCCAATGAATTACTGGTTCGGCAATGTTTCCTACTGAAAGGAAGCAAATAATAATCAGCTTAGTTACTCTCATGGAAAAAAAAACCGTATGTGTTTCCGTCTCGCGAAAAATATGATCGCCATCATGTTAATGATCTAGAAAAATTAGGAAAAGCAAAGTTGTTTTCCTGAAATTCTTACCAATATACCGTATTTTCCTATGGAAATTCGCAGATTTTCTGTGTCTACCAGACGCCGTTTCTCAAAATTCAATAAATCAATCAGTGAATGTACATCCTGACCCATCGAGAACTGGTCAAGCTATATGTAGAGAAAAATTTTCCTGTGAATTATTGTTCCAATAATTTTTTTTTTCTCGAGAAAGAAAGAAGTTATCTGCTTAGTCACTCAAATAAAAACGCATTTGTGTTCCCATCACCAAAAAAAAACTTATCAATTACTGAGAGAATCCAGAAAAATGAAGACAGCGTCTGAAATCCCTCGATGCTCAGTATGTTTATCTTTAAAAAAGTTCAATTCTGTCTGCTTATGGCACACATTTTCTAAGAAAAGGAAAATTTTGTATGATACTCTCTCCTTCAAACTGTACAAAAATTAATGTTGTACGAGGTTTGTTTCATAAACTTCGAGACTTTTGAAATAGATCCAACCGAGTTTAAAAAATTGCTCGCCCAGTTCATCATTGGCAACACTCCAGTGCTGTTCAACGCACTCTCCGCCTATTTCAATTCACTTTTTCGTGTGATAAATCCAACCATAAAAACAGTGTCGAGAATTGAGTTCTGCTAGTTGATTATAGGCGGCTGGATAATTTTTTTTAAGTCTCAAAACTTATGAACCAACCCTCGTAGCTTTTGGGGAAATCAAATGCGGAATCACCCGCATACACTTTCCCGACTGTTTGGAGGACAATTGCGGAATTAATAATTTTATTTATATCTTCTTTTTTCTTTTGTAGTTGGAGCGGGATCATCGGGGTCTGTTGTGGCCTCCCGTCTCTCAGAGAACCCGGATTGGAAGGTACTCTTGATAGAGGCGGGAGGCGATGAAACTGAAATCTCGGACGTGCCCGCACTCGCCGGATACTTGCAACTGGGTCGACTGGACTGGCAGTTCAAAACCGAACCTCAACCCACGGCTTGTTTGGCGATGAAACACTGGGTGAGTATATCGTAACTCCCGCTGGAAATTTTTTTTACAAATTTATTTTTCGAAACTTATGAAAAGGAACCCAAGCTCAAATCAAGTCGCGACGTTTTCACAGTCTGGTCGCGACGAATCAAATTTTCCGTGGGGGAGAAATTGGTGTCCACTGAAGGCCGGCTTTTAAATGCAAATCAACAGTCGGTTGACGAATGTGAAAGACCGTTCGACCAGAAAAAAGAAAACACCTCTTAAGCATAGAGTATTTTGAAAAAAAAAGAAGAGACAACATTTTATAACTTTATTTTTCTTTCCGCGAAAAACGGCGGAAGATTGAAGTTTTTCCAACTCAGCACGGCGTGGAAAATGCGATACTGGTCTTGGAAGGAGGATTTTTTTTCTTGTCTGCTTCGCGTTTTATGCACGCACAATTTTCAACGCAAATCCTGGATTTTGGAAACCCCGCGGCGAACCGGAACAGAAAGCACTTCTTCGCGTTATTTCCTTTCGCCATGTATCTTCGTCGTCCTTTTCTTCAGAGCTTCGAAGTACAGTACATTCGTTGCATTTATGATGATATACTCACTTTTTAAAATTGCAAACCCACACGCATCATTTCATCTTCTTCTGATGTATTCCTTTGCATCTAGCGAAGTGCCAGTTGTCACTGAAAAAAATCCTTTATGAACTCACAGCCAACTGTTTCACTGATGACATATCATTTGCGTGAAAAACTGCTACTTAGTAGGCATTATTTTTTTGACTCGCTCAATTATGATTCAATAAATTTCTCCAAGCTTCTTCTAGCCTTGGTAGCTCAAATAATATTGAAAAATGTTGTCCAATTTGAATTTGAGTTGTATCCTGAATGGTTTGAGCAAACACATTTACAAAACCTGTTGAATTCGAAACCGTGCAAGTCTTTAAACCGAACATAAATTTCATGTTTCGTCATGGATACAAATTCTGTGGAGAATAAAAAAGGTATCTTCAAGACAATACTGTAATGGTGAGGTTAAATTTGTTTTGACGAGGATTGAACTAGATTCGCATCTCGGTAAATGTTTTCTTTGAAGTCATCAAGGCGAAACGAATTCTCTTAAATCGAGTAAATCCTCTTGAAACTTGTTCGGGATTTTTACCCCTTGCCTGCCTTGATAAATCGAAGAGATCTAAATGCATATAAATTTAAAGCTCTGTCAATATTTTGTACCGACTTTTTATACCGACTATTTTACACCGACTTTACGTAAGGGTCACCTTACGTAACGGTCTTTTTCAGATCTTCGAAACGTCGCGATATATAAATCATTTATCTGTAATGCAATTTCTCGAATTGTGTTAATAGTACTTGCGTTTAAAGTTATCCAAAGCTGATTTTATTTGAATAGAATGTCCATCAATATTGCGATTGTGTCTTTCGTTGTTGAACAGCGTGATCGTCATGGTAGGTCGCGAGTATCCATATGAAACGAAAACCTGAGCAATTCTCGCTGCAAATAATCCTCAAAAACGTATTTTACCATTATTTTTATTCATTATTTTTTGTTTTCTCTTGGACTGGATAAGAATACGTGTATGCCAGATGGGTTACACGCTTTGAAGCACGAACCCGATTGTTATCCGCGTCTTCCTTCAATGTCAGTGGCGGGTACGCTTTATTCCGTCTGATGCTCACCAAGCAGAACTCTTCTTGAATCTCTTCTGCTGCGTCGTCTTGCTTTTGTCATGTCTTTCATGCGTGCTTTAATTTGTTCCAGGTGTAAACGGATTTCTTGGTTGGGTTTCTTGGTTCGTGCTTGACACGGAATCGCGGATCAGCACGTTCTCGGTATTTTCCACACTTGCGAGTACAGTATTATTATTTTTTAATGAATTATCCGTCGTTATCTAATGTTCATCTGACCGAGAAGAAGCTTCCGACGATGTCAGTTATGAAAATATGGCTGCGATGGGCTCCGAAATCCAGTCCAGGAAAATATAGTAAATGAAAATGTGGTCGACGTTCCGGTCGTTGAATCTCGTTTATTAAAATGTCTCGAATAATAATTTAAAAAAAGAGACACACTTGATCCTTTTCATGTTTCTGATCCCTTTGAAAAAGTAGACTGATCAGAATTCTTGTGGCAAATGAAATCCTTCCTGAATTATTCTCATATATGCTGTAATAACAATAAAAAATAAACGCAACGGAAGATCCATAATACATTGCGGTACTGCGAAATTCATTTGAATCTTAAGTAACTTTCTTTCTCGAATTGCCTCGAAACGTCTTGTCGATCTCGCATTTCGCAAAACAGCGGTTTCTTCATTCGGATTTCACTCTTCATCAACTTTCAAACTTACCACGAAAATGAATAGCTAATACATGGACTGGTACCAAGACCCAACCGCAAAACATTCTCGGTTTAACCAAATATTTCGATTGTTTTACGCTATAACGTTGCCATTTCTCTGCAAATATTCTGTTGAAACTTTGCATTTCAATAAATTTTCCAAGGAAGATAGTGAAAAGTCTGCACTTCACAAATTAAGCGTGTCAAGTCAGAGTCTTGTGGAATATACAGGGAAAGTAAAGGAAGTACTGTACACCAATTTTTAAATGAAAGTATATTATTAAAAGGTCATCCGAAATGTAGGACGTCCAAATTAAATTATTTCAATGTTTATAGTTTGTTTGGCACAATCTTGGAGGCAATTAAAAATGAGACAAGTTTATGTTCTTCATCGGGTTCCGAATATACCTCAGTTTCTCTGGCTGCATGAACAGGTTGAAATTTCGATCGCTGTGTTGAAGTATCATCTCCAATTAATTCCTTTATAATTTTGAGATTATTAAATTAATTTTGGATTTGTTGTTCGTTTTTAAGATAATAGATAGAACAACGCTTTAAGATGCATTTTATGTTTTACAACTGGCCTTGTGGATATTCGTGCATAATTCCGTTGAGAAACGATCAAAAATTCTACCCGGAAGCTTGAACCAATAATCTGCGTGGTCAAAACTTTTCGTAAATAGGGGAATGAAGAAGACTTCATGAGTCGAGATTTCATCTTTTTTCTTTTCAAAATCACGAAAGCACAGAAACTTACTGCTGAGCCGCATTTAATATGGTAATCGCATTGTTTACAAGGAGAATCTAATTATATCCTTGCAACACGTCAACGTCATGTAGTCATTTCCATCTCATGAATTATTTTGCTGAAATTTCGAAGAGGGGAAAGGTTTTTATTTTGGTTTATGGCTTTGGGTGAAACTACCCTCTTTTTCTCAGATTATTTACGCTAAAAATGCGGCGTGGACAAGGTTTTAAAAGTCGTTCTTCATTCGTATTCACATAATGTCGGCGTACACGTCATGACGCTTGATGGAAAAGTATTTGAATTTCAGTGAATGAAAAGCGGTGAGTTTTTTTCTTTATATATTCTGTGGCTCTTCTGAAAGTTGTGATCATTCGTTCCGCGGACGAAAATGCGTTTCCAGAAGTGCTTCCGGTTCCGCGATAAATCGGATCATCTATTTCGAGAAGACCCTGGTTCACCTCAATGTTGGAGAAAATTTTCATGCCGCCTTCGGCTCACGTTTTTTGATTGATGCCGACTCGCGCGGGCGGCACCTGCATTATTCACGTCCACGGGGGATATAATTGATTCTAGAAAGGTTTTCCCTCTCCACATGCCGTCGAAAATTAACAAATCTCGTGCTCTGGATCATTCAGAAGTTCTTGAGGCACTAAAGCTGTTTCATCACAGAACGGAAAGCGCGTACAGAAGCTAAGATTTTATTCTAACCCGTCTAACCTCTCCCAGTATTCACTCTTGATATTCGGAGGACGCCGTCGGTTTTTATAAAACACTCCTATATCTATTTCGCCTTGAAAAAAATTTTTTATTGCTAATTCCATGTAAAAAATGATTCAGTTCAATGTCATTGAATATCAATTAACAGCAATTTCTTCACAATCTGAGCAGCTTGAAATAACCACTTTATCCTCCCAAATTTCAAACGAAGTGAAGTTTACAATTCTTGCGCATTTGAAGTTCAAAATTTTAAGGGGATGTAATCAATCGACTTTCTGACATACAGTACTTTTTTAATAATTACATTGTATTGGTCAGGTACAATTCTGCAATTTACCCGCAAATCGTAGGCACCATTGATAACTCCAAGAAATGAATAAACAAAGAAGTTTACCGTAGTGCTTCTTTCAAAGCCGACTTTCACGGAACGAATACTGTAATTATACTTCAGTGAACAGTATTCTGTACTTGGAAAAATATGCATATGATAATAGGAATGAAATATCGTCTAGTCTTTGATTCTTCGTCACATAAATACGAGAATCGTTCACCTCGTTTGAGGACCATGATTTTTTAGCATTCAATCGGAATATTTTGATATTTTTCGTTTTTGGACGAATACGTTTTACTTTTTATGGCTACTGTATTTTGAAAAACACTGATTTTCACCTTGTTGGTTAACTGGGAGTCTCAAAAAGTCAGAAGGGCCATTTTCCCTGGAATATTTTTGGAAACGGATGAATCATGTGGACCTGGCTGGGGAGTTTTCAGAAGAATTTGCTATCATGGGCTATCGGGTACTTGATCTTTCGAATAATCATAAAACCACGAAGTGTCGGTTTTGAACGTTAGCATTATTTTCAAATGTCGTGAAAATAATTACATTTTCTCCATTTTCCGGCGAGTCTTGGGAAAATTTTCAGAATAACGATATTCCGGGAGTAGTTGAAAAAAGCAACTGATCAAATATCAGTTCCTAAAAGTATTTCCTGCTCTTCTTTTTTTTTAATACTGGACTATAAATGCCAAAGCTCGCCCAATCAAATCCAGCTCGAGTTCTCAAATATCTAAGCCATAGCATTTTTGATGAGCTTTTATAAATGCAATTTCGTATATACAGTACATAACTTATCGCCCAACGTCTAATTTCTTTTGACAGAACTTAGTTTCATACTTACAGAGGAGCTGCATCAAGATGTAAATGGGATTTGATCCAAAATCTTACAAGGTTTTGCCCCAAAATTTTCAAGCTTCCTACCGAGTTTTAAAACACCTGTTGACAGCCCAAAATATATTTTTGAAATTTATTTTTTAAAGTACAGTACAGGAAATGTATCCCGTCCTCCTTTTGAGAGTATGTGCTTGGATGAATTTCAACTTTGAAGCGGTTTACAATTTTAAGTTCTAAAATATTTACATTTCCAAGTGTGTCGCTAAAACGATTCGCCATATTT